ATAATTACAACTTCTGCTCCTTTCAGGGCATCCTGAAAGATGAGAGGAACATCGGCAACATGAGGATTACTGCTTGTTCAAGCTGAATCTCCTCTTGCTCTCTAACACCAACTGCAATGAGCTTGGCAATTAATAAACTTGAAATGAAAATGGTTAGGGACAGATCAAAATAAATTGAACTCTTCCTCAGTTACATCAAGTCACAAAATTGTTAAATGTTCTGAAAATCAGGTTATAAAGTGTGATTAATACTGTTCTATCTTAGTTAGTTGATTTTCAAAATAGCATAGTTCCTTCTTGCACACTTTATACTAATTAATCTACCTTTAACTGCTCTGGTCCATTGAAGCCCGTAACTTTGGCTACAGTTTCAATGTGACTTAGGTCAGCAGCCACACCAGGAGTGTGCACAATATCATATAGTGATAGTTCTGTTACAAGGGGTGAACCTTTCAGCAATAAGGCCAAGGGCTGTCCAATGCCACCACTGGCACCACACACAGCGACCTTCACGTTTCTCTGAAACGATAAATGAAACCGTAAATTTACAGTTCACTGTTCCACAAATACGGCAAGTGTTTCAAAATCAGAGGTAACAATTCTCTCACTAAAGTATCCTTGAATTCCAGGTTAAGGGAAGTACCATTAGAACAAAAGCATACACGAATGTTAATTTTACAACAGAAATAGGTACCTGAGTACTTGTACCGAAGTTCTTGGCGCTATTATGAAGAACAGACGCAGTCTGCGGTCTTACAAATCGGGAAAACATACTTAATAATAATATTTGCCAAACCTTTCCTTTCTGCTTCTGTACCCTTGGACCTTACAGAGCAAAGAGGCTTCACGCATGCGTAAAACCACAGCAAATGCCAACATACAAATTAGTATCTAAATGTAAAATGTAATGTAATGTTAAACGTTGGCAACGTACGTGGTGTTTGACGTCACGCATACCCTGTCCTGCCACCTGTCCACAAAGATTGTGACTGTCTCCGACAGTCACAAATGGTTGCCAGCTCTGTCGATAACAATATCCAACTGAACTGTTTTCCACTCTCCCACTTAATTTTACATAACCGAATCTTCTGGGATTATGTGAAGGGGATTTTGTAAATTCCCAGATGCTGTCAATGTATCAGATATAATCTGTTTTGCTCAACTTAGTGACTGGAGGCTTATCGCATGGACGCATGTTGTGCTGGATGTTTAAAACTTCACTTTCACTAGTCATGTTATAAGCCTATTGAAATTCTTAATTGTCATTTAGTTTGGTAGAAATTAACCGACATTTCAGAGGGGCTTACTGACACCATCATCAGGACATCACCCTAATAATGAATTTGTAGGCACCTCTGTGAAGTGTATGTATATTGTATGAAATGACATGTTCTACATCCTTTGGTTGAGTCCTAAGAAGGATCTATGGAATGTAAATAAACTCTACTCTAACTCTCTACTCTACTCTGAAACAAGTCAATTTCTGTCCAACTGTAATATCCAACATGTGATTGGTTATGGTCAGGGGCTGCTCAGAATTAGGAAAAGGAAAGCATTAGCACACATGTCTGCCCTAAAAACTAATTTAACTTATTACTGCTATGCATGTCCACTATGTCAAGTATTTTCCTGTTCACAAGGTAGTCTTTTTACCTTTATGGAATCCCTGACTAAAGACAAGAGTCATAAAATTTTCTTCTTTCAGTGGGAGGAAATTCAGTGCAGAACCATGTACTAATATCTGTTATCAGTATTTATAAGCTATTTTTGTGTCATATCACACTAGCCATTTCCTTACATTACCAGCTGACCACTTCCTGTCACCTTGATAACAAAACACATATGCCAATAACAGGAACAGAGTGAACTTAAAGTATATGTTAACACTTCTATTGTTTTAATACACTGAAATGGGACATAATGTCTGAGAAACTGTAGTGCAGAGTCATCACTGGGTAATCATGGCATCAGCAGCTTGCATTCATGTTGTCACACAGAGGATGTAGATAGAAATATTCCAAGATCATTTGATTATGAATGTGGAACAATGAATATCACTGCATTGTTTCTTAATTAGTATAGCAATATAGCAACAAATAGAAGCAAAGATAAAGGCTTGAAAAAATTTAGCAAAAGTCTTAATGAATTACTGATGTATTGTAAATTCTTGGGACAAAAAAGATGCATAAGACTGAATCACTAGTAGCAGAAGATATGGATTCTAAATTTTTATGCCATCAAAATGTTTTGTTAATGACAGCAATTGATGAAGAAGCTATTGAAGATACTGAGAAACTACTAAGAGAGAGTTCGGAGTCAGCATCAGCTGTTGTAAATGTTCCTTGTGGAAGGCTACAACTTACAGCATTACAGCTGGCAGCTACTAAAGGCAAGTATTAGAATATGTAACAAGTGTTGGACTTACATGAGTATGAAAAATAATGTCTCATCCTGAAAAATGAACCCAGATTGAAGTTATCTGACAACCAGGTTTTGAAATAAATATTTACATATAAGAAAGTGGAAGTTTACATCTTTACAATATGGTTTCTTTTGCAGCTATGATATTTTGATGTAGTTAATTATTTGCAGTAAAGTTAAGTCAACCTTTTTCTCATATATCTGTACAAAATTTATATTACTCTAACAAAAAATTACATAATGAGGTGTACCACAATTTGTACACTTCACGTAATATTAGAATGATTCACCCAAGACAGTTCAAATGGGCAGGATATATAGCACATATGGAAGAAACAACAAATGCAAACCAAATTCTGGTATGAAAACCTCAAAGAAAGAGGCCACTTGGGGTATCTTTGTATAGATGGGAAGATAATTTTAAAATGGATTTAATAGAAATAGGCTGTGAATATGTAAACTATGTGCACTGTCTGAGGATGCAGTGGTGGACTTTTTTTATTAAAGTAATAAACAGGACCTTTCTTTATGAACTAATCTAGAAAGATTCTATGGAGATATTTAGATGCTTAACAGTATTATTTTTCAATACAGATACTACTTGAGTTTGTGACGTGTTCTATATCCACTATTGGATTCTTGGAACTTGTAAAATAAATAAAAAATAAATAAATAATCACAGTTTCAGGCTTTCATTTCTTCTATAGGCAATAATAAGGTTTAGGTAAAATAAATAAGAAATGAAGAGGACGAAGTTTTTGATTTATATTAGAGAACTAGTAATGTAGATGACATTTATATTTTCATAAATACTTGGTGCTAGTAAGAAAAGCTTAAAAATTGTGTTTTATTTAAGAACTTTCTGCTAAACATCAAAGGAATAAACTTTATACTTTGTAGTTCTCTATTTTGTTGTTGTAAATATTTTATCTGCAAAATTCACTGCCACATCATCATTTGTCTTGTTTTCCAGAAGTTATTTTTATTCTTGTACAAATACAATTTATTTATTGATAATTGTCTTGTGTTCTATCATTGCAAAGCATCATAAACTTCCTCCATTGCAGGCAAACATGGAGCTCAACTGGTCAACCTGTTGCTGATGAATGGAGCAAAGGCAAATGTGTCTGATAAACTGGGCAGAACACCCCTTCACAGTGCAGCCTTATTAGGCAATGAAGAGGCTGTGCAAGCACTGTTAAAAGCTGGTGCTCACGTTGATTCCCATTTTCAAGTCAATTCCAGGCCCAAGCAACAGTTGGATAACCATTCCATATTACATTCAGACTACAGTGTAGATGTTGAATGTAAAGAAGTTACTTCAAGGTTCAATGTAAGTAGAACAGGTGATAGCACTACTAAGGCAATTTTCACTGTATATACTCATATCTATTTCAAAACATGGTATAACTACACAAAATATTTGATTTTCAATATTGTCTACTTCTTATTTTGACACAGAGGCATCTTTTAAAATTTCAGTAAAATGTGTGCTTGATTTATTTAATGATGATATCCCAGCTGCACTGGTTATATAGTACTGAAGGATAAAAAGTTGCTTAAGAATATGGAGACAGAATGGATGAGGGAGAGACTAATCATGGCCTATTTTAAGGTATTGCCCCAGAGTCTTCTTGGAAGAATATGAAACAATGGAAATCCTCAGCCAGGATTGCTAGCCTTCCTGATAAGAGTGAAAGTGAATACATCCTGAATATAAAGCAGGAAAACAAACAGCTGCTCTATAAGAGATACAGATAAATTGAATGAAAACATTATATAAAGTAAAATGAATAATATCCTGCAATTCATGGCAAGAAGAAGAAAATTAAGTGACTTAAAATATTTATTAATCTAACATAATTCTGTACAATATCTAGTTACCTATTCCGGAATGTTGGGGACGTACTCCACTACACCAAGCTGTGAAAAGTGGTAACCCTGCATGTGTTCTTCTGCTACTTCAAGCTGGAGCAAAAGTGAATGCTGAAGATGAGAAGGGCACAACTCCTCTTTTACTGGCAGGTGCTGGGGTGGTGCCAGACAACAAGAATGGTGTTAATAAGTAATCATTATTTATTGTTATTCATCTTGCTGATGCATAGAGACTGGCCTTACATTGCACATCATATATATATATATATATATGTATGCTAAAAGATGAAAATATTTTATTTTTGAGACTAAATACTTCTTATCCTCAGCACAAACATCTCTCATTGTAGTGTTCTTACATTAATCTCCTTGGCAATCAGCCACATATATCTGGAGCAAAAGTTAAATATTTCTGCTCTCAAGTTATGTGTCTGATCGCCCAATAGGATTTTATCAGTTTTAGGCACCATGAAAGCCTCAATCTTCAAATTCTTATGAAACAGCATGGCAATTTTTGGATACATTGTACCACTAGGTTTGGTATAACAAAGTTAGGCAAGGTCTGCTTGATTCTGTTATAACTACTACTGTAATTTACCTCACAACTTTTGCTAACTTGTTATAACCATAATATTATAGATATGAGGAGATAGTAGAACTACTAGTACAGGCAGGGGCTCACGTCAATGTATACAACCAGGACACGGGTTCAACAGCTTTGCATCATGCTGCAGTGCTGCGCTCTGTGCGAGCCATGCAGTTTCTGCTGGATGCAGGTGCTGTACTCGAAGAAGGCAGAACTGAAGGAGGAGTAACAGTACTTCATGAGGCAGCAAAGGCAGGTTCTGTGGCAATGATAGAACTCCTACTAAAACAGGGAGCAGATCATTTGGTCAATGTCAAGGATAAGGTGTGTTCATTTTATTAAGAGCATTGAAACATTTGTGACTATAACTATGGTCCTGAGATGTGAATTAGTAATGATTTATATTGATGCAAACCTTCTTGAAACAATTACAGTAATGGTCTCTTCAACCATTTATTGTCTCCTATTGGTCTCAGTTCAACAATATGGACTATCTTGAAGAAGATTTTAATTAGCTTTGCATTCAAATAAATAGATCTTGTTGGTTTCAGCCCTACATTTATAAAATTGTGTTCCAGTGCAATACTTGTTACATTTCAAGAAAATACACTGGACCTAATAAGAATATGTCAGAATGTATGGTATTAAAAAGATTAATATTAGTCACAGAGCCATGCTTTGCAATATCTGAATCAGTTAACAATTAGACTAGGCACCATGCCATAAGCAACAACAGAAAGCAGGATCAATAACAGCTGGTAGCACTGAATTTCAAGGTTAAGGATCACAGACTTTGTGATGACTAACTGCCTGACTGCCCACTCACTGTTCCTGTAGATATATTGTTTTACTTGTGTATCTATTACTGTAATTATTTACCTACTGCCTCACTTGTGGACTTCAAAGGGGTTCCAAAAATTAGCTGTGGGTACAAATACATGGGCAGTCATGTTGCTTGTAATATCAACAATTATGATTCAGACAGAGAAAGTCTCCTAAATTCTGGATTACAGCTCCATACTTACATAGTTGATCACCCAAGGAGACTTTATTACATTAAGTCACAGTGAAAGTTGTAAAAAAAACATGTAAAGAATTTCATAACATTTACTGTAGACTGGCTGTACACCACTACACAAGGCAGCGTATGTTGGAGCCCGTGACTGTTTAACCACACTATTGAGGCATGGGGGTGACCTGGCAGCTCAGAGCAGCACCAATGTGTCTGTCATGGATGTCATCTTTTCTCATATCCCACGCCCTGTACATTTCCTCACAGATATTCTGAATGGAAGCATTATCCCTAATGGTGCCTCTGTTAACGATCGTAGTTTCAAGGTATGTTAATTAAACAAATTTCTTATTTCAATATATTTTGAATTTTGAGAATAGAACATTCATATGTTCATTCATACAAACATTCAGACAATCTTTTTATTACAGATGATGACGATTACCATCATCATGACTGTCAATATTATTATTAGCTAGCTAGATGTGTTCCTGCTGCCAATGCTATTTCAACTCAAGTTTATATTCTTTGTGCCATTTCAAATTATTCACTTATTCAGAATGTTTACTTTCTCCATTGAGAAAACTAATACATATAACAATAAATAAGATGAACAGGTTCACTATCAGGTTGGTCAAGAACAATGTGATATATCTGTGGCTAAATCCTTGTGATCCAATACAGCCTTCCATGTTTTTCATAGCATAATCTTTGTGAGATCTGAATTAATTGAAAATTACACTGTTCCTGAGTTTTGAACATCTAACATCTAAAAATTTGCACATATGAAAGAAGTGATTACTTATTTTAATATTTTAATAATCTTGTCATGTGAATATCAGTTCATACATATTGATCCTTAATTACTTCATGGTGATCTCAACCTCCATATATTCCTCTAATTAAATTTGTTTCTTCTCAATAAGCATCACTTCCAATAAGGGCAATAAAGATATAACAAAAGTTATTTATTGATCTTTTTTTCTCTGTATTGTTTCATTACTGATATTACAAAAATATTGCTTTATATCAATATTCATTCTGACTGTAATACAGTTCAGTTTAATTATGATTCAAATAGGATATTGGTAACTGGCTTGAGAACACAATTACCATTTATGACATTGCACATATGACAATCAAATTCCAAGTTCCGAACAAAAGACTTAAGAGCAAACTTTTGGAATGTAACCCATTTGTAATTTGGGGACTTCTATGTTTGTGTGTAAGTGTTGAGAACAGAAATTTTTAGTACTTCTCACTAATGGTATGTATATTAATATTTTCATAGTATTCAAATAAGACAATGTGTTTTGACAAAAAGTTAATTTCTAATTCAGCTGAGGATAAGTGTATAAGTTGACTTGATTCATTCATCATTACATTTCCCATTGCTTTCCTAATAATTATTATTCCTTAATAATCTGGCATTTGTTATTCCTCCCCTTCTCAACTATTTTTCATTATAAACAATATTAACATTTTGAATAATATGTTTCTAATTGTTTCCACTTAGGCAACACTTGATTTCAGTGTGTTATGTCCCTGTGGTCCTGAAGAGCAGATGGCAGTTGTGACTGCACTTATGTCTGGTGCGAATAATTTTCAGCAAATACGAATTCTTCAGCATCCCTTACTTGAAACATTTTTGCGATTAAAGTGGCATCGTCTGCGAATGATATTTGGCATGATTGTAGTGGTGCATGCTTGCTTTGTGGCATCTCTATCAACATACTGTCTGCTCCTGGTGTACAACAACAATGATTCTTCCTTCACTGCGGTAATTAAATTAAATATACATAATTGTCAGCAAAATGTTACAGACAGCTATAGATAATTTATTTCCTTGAAATGGTGACTACTCACATTACATCCAATGGACCAAATCCTGTGATTGAGTGGTCAGCACTGCCGCTTCATATTCAAGAGGTTCTGGGTTCAATTCTGGGCCCTAATACAAGCTATCAATGAGCTTTTTGTAATTTACTGAGTTCTACCAGACAGTTGTAAGATAAAACCACAAATAGGCCACATCCTATTCCTTGTATAAAACATTAAAGTTCAACATCATATTCACAAATGCTGGCTACTAGACTCTACTTGTCTCTTAATTTCATGATATTTGTTGCGGCTGTTTTTCTGTTACCAGGTTGTTGTGTCACGCCGAGTCCTGCTTGTATCTGTCTTGGTATTATTTATACATTTACTGGTCCAAATTATGATGCTGCCACGCCACTATTTACTTCAGTATGAGACATGGATCAATCTTGTGTGTATCCTACTATCTCTCACCATTGCCGTGGGTGGAGAGACTACTAACTACATGATGCCATTCCTTCAAAATCGTGAGCCAACTGAAAGTACATGGGTGCTACATGTCATGTCCTTTGCTGTGTTGCTTGCCTGGACAGAGCTCATGCTACTAATGGGGCGGTTCCCAACCTGTGGATACTATGCACTCATGTTCTACCAAGTCCTTCAGAATGTGATAAAGGTAGAGTACTATTGCCTAAACCAACTGATTTTCTGATACCAAAATGTTATATCAAGTGCTTAATGACCATGTTTGAACATTGATCACTCATGAATGTGCATTAAACAGTTTCCATGCAACCAAAGAGTGGTAGATGGAATTTTTTTTCAAACTAATAAGTCTTGTTGTGATTACCTACTAACCAGATTAGAGACAGAGGAACAGAAATCTAAATTTGGCATGCATTCGTTGTCTCCTGATCCAATTGGATTTTGTGAAACTGAACTTAAAATGATCTGTTTCTTCATACGGCAGGTTCTATTGACATTTGGAGGCTTGGTGATGGGATTTGCCTTCAGTTTCTGTGTGCAATTCCATGAATCCGGTCAATTCAGAAACCTCTGGTGGTCCATAGTCAAGACAGTTGTAATGATGATGGGTGAATATGAATATTCAGACCTCTTTCCTGAAGATGACAAGATGCAGCTGCGTTTGAAGGGAACAAGCCGTATAATTTTCCTTGCATTTGTGGTCCTTTCATCTATTGTCCTCATGAATCTCATGGTTGGTCTTGCAGTCAATGACATCCAGGTACTGTTTATGGTGTTCAATAAGACCTGTTATTCATACAACTTTATGATGTCCTTCATAATGTGATTACATGGACAATGACAAGTATATGGTTTACAATGTCCCAATAAATTTATTATCACTAGTAGAATGCCCATTTAAACTTAAACTTATAGAAAGTTTAATATATGTTCTCTCAATAATTCTCTTATTTATACCGTTTATTCTCTCATAAACACATTATACCTTCTGTCTTCTCCATTTACCCAATTGCATGTAAAGCATGAGAAAGAGCACAGTCTGTTGTTTTGGTTCCAGTTGTACCTTTCTATGATGTTGAAGAGAAATACTTTGATTCCAGTAACAGCAGGAAGTTTTTGATTAACCTGATAAATATCAGCTGAAATGATTAACTGATAGCCAAAAAAGGATTGCTCAATTATTACATTTACTAGCAGAGTGTCCGTAGTTTTACTACAGGAAAATCTAACAAATGTTTATACGCTTACAAATGCTTAGCACTATTCTTCTATGCTGCTTAGTTACTGAGCTATAGAAAACATCTTCATCAGGATTTGAATCTAGGACAGATTTTTGAGGTTATTTACTTTGTTTTTGTAATCTACTCTCTGATATAAACAACTTTGTTCTTGGCACAGTTTTTCTGTACTCCATACAAGTAAAGTAAAGATGTCCTACTACAACTTGTGGGAAGAGGCAGTATTTATAAAAGACTGGAGTTAAATAAATTAGAATCTAAGAGACAGAACATAACAAGAGGATGTAAAAAGTGCATAATGAGGAGCTTTATAACTTGTAACCTTTATCTTACTATATTAGGGCAAATAAATTAAGGGGGATGAGATGAAACATGTATGGGAAAATTTAAAAATTAATATTTTTTTATATTTTAGTCAAAAAGCCTGAAGAGACAAGACTACTTAAAAGGTTCTGGGGTTAATGGTTTAGCAATATGATACTGCAACGCACAGCCAGGCATGGCCATCTGAATCATGTGTAAGTCATGATGCACAGGCAGTGAAGTTTAAATGGATTGTAAGAGAGATTGTATTCGTTTAGCCTGGGATAGGGCCCAGTGGTAGGCTCTTGAAAACATATTAATAAACTTTTGGTTCCATGAAAGGTGGGGAATTTCTCCACCAGTTAAGTAATTAACACCTTCACAAGAAAGATTCTGATCTGGGGGAGTTAGTATATATGTAACTTATATATTGATAATTACATTTCACCATTGGCTTGAATGTCTTAATTACTGAGGTATTATTTAACTGCAATCTTTACAGAAATATCCAGATAATTGTATCCTTGCTGACTGTTTCTGCAAGCATGATAAATAACTTAAAGAATTTCTTATCATAGGAACTTCAGACAGAAGGACATATCCAGCGACTGCTGAAACAGGCTGAATTTTTGGCACACTGTGAGAAATTGAGTTCTCACCACATACTCAAATCAGCATTATTTCCTAGTTGGTTTCATAAAATATTCCATGACAGACGTAGCATTGAGACCTTATTTGTGATCCAGCCAAGTGAAATCTCATCTGGCAGGAAAGACTTGTCTTTCACACTCCTGGAATCAATTATTGGAATTGCCATTCACAATGAGCAGAAATCTGCTGGACATGATACAAGATTCTCAAATGATTACCACAGGTACTCACAGACAAAATCACTAAATGTTAATAAAAATAAGGATTTGTAATGGAATCCTCACTTAATTTTCCTCTGTTTATGGTTTTCCCTTGCTTGTTATTCAAGTACCATAACTAACAATATTTTCTTTCTCCCATTTTTCTCACAGGTCTTCTCAGTTTTTCTGATATTTTTAGTTGTATTTACCTGAATTAGGGCCAACCCATGAAAGAAACCCAAATTATGGTATTATGGGACCAGCCTACACTCAAATTAGGTGTGTCAAAATAAAAAAAAATACAACAGTGCCAATCATGGACTGTTCGTGACCATGCTGTAAAATAGTTGGGTGGTGCCAATTGTTGTTAGAAACACAGTAATTAATTGCATCATGCACCAACCATTCCAGGGGTAAATGGATCTTCATACTGTAGTATATGTTAAATGAAAAAGAACACAATAAATGGGGAGAAAATATCAAATAATAAATCTTAGTACCTTACTTCTTCTTGATTTCATTTTATATGCTATTGAGGCTTTTCATATTAAATTAACTACCATCCACTTTAGTACTGCTTTAACAGAACTCTGTATGAACCTGGTCTGACTTGAATTCCCATCACAAAAGTTTCCTTTCAGTAGGTTGGCACAGTGTAATGTAACTTTTATTCAGGAATAACCTAGTCTTAATCTCAGCCAGGTAAATAATCATATGATCAAAATATTTTGTTCATTTCTACAGTACCCACAGGAAATTTCCATTACAACACCCTCAGTTCACAACACTGTTCCTCCATGGTTGAAATATTGTCACTAAGTAATATAAGAGTAGATTATAAAACTTGTATTCAAGAAATTTAAAGTTCTTAATTATCTTGCAGCGTAAACAAAATCAGTAGTAGAAGTGAATATGGAAGTGTGTCAGATCGAGATACTGTAGCATCTCCCATGAGTTCTGCTGATCACAGCAGCATTTTAACGATGCTTCATCAACTCCAGCAGGATATTTCTGATATCCGCCAGGCTCTTCATTTGGATGAAGGTATGGAAACAGTCATAACTACAGGGAGAGTGGCTGGAAACTTTAATGTAAGATTGAATGAGCGTCAACTTGGCAGCCAGCCAATGAGTGTCAATCGGTGGACAAGACCTGTAGCTGAGATTCAAGAGGCACAGGGCATACTGCGGAGACTGCAAAGAAAGAATAACTCACGTAGTACTGTGGTGTAATATTGTTATAACTGGTTCAAGGCAAAAATGTTATCCGCAAATAAGAACTGAATTGATGTCTACCAAATATCACAGTCTACTATGTTTCATATTTGGGAATCCCTGCCTGGAGACCATGTATGATAATGGAGGTTTTCTATGACTTTTCACTGAAAATCAGAAGTGAAAGGTCAGCATTCTGCCTTCATATTTGGAAAGCCCATGTTCAATTCAGAGCCCAGAGGCCTGATCTCTTGACTGAAGTTTTTCAGTCTCCCTCAGTCTCTCTAGCCAATTGGTGGGACTGTATCTTAAAACAGGCCATGATAGTTTTCTCCCAGATTATTCCCAATTCATCATTCTATATGTCCCTCCAGACAAATTATGGAGTAATACTGGTACCTACTTCAGTATGTAATCATGCAGTCATTCAATACTATAGAGCATATGCAGTTTATAATTTGCCATTGTATAAACACTACTAAAAAATGGGAGTCACCTGTTTACCGTATATGATCCTTAGCACTAGGCTACTAATAATATCCCCTGATATGACTACAGGAAGTAGGAGACTAAGATTCAGTCCCTAGGGTTCAAATTATTATTCTCCCTTCTACATCTTGGGCTTATAAATATTATTTTTAATTTTTCTTTTCTAATATTTTGTATTTCTTTTTGTCTTCATTCATTTGTACAATGTTAGTTTCATCATGTTTTGATGGTAATTATTTTGTGATCTTCTACAGCTTGCTAATAATATTTCTTATACCTGAAGTTTTTGTTTTCATACATCCTCTTCTTACAGAGTAGACACAGTTTGTTACCAATATAAATCAATGGGTAAAATTAGTTTTGTATATTCCAACTGTTAGTATTTTAGAAAGGTAAAACATTCAACACTGGATGTTAGATGTGTGTTTCTGAAGATAAATAAATAAAACTGAGAAATGTTTTCTTGTGCAATTTTTACCTATAAGTTGGTTGCAATGACACACTGTGGTTAAAAGCAACTTTTCTCAGTGTTAACATGCTACTGACAGTAGCAGAACTGTCTTACAGTGCTCTAACCCCCATTACAGATCCATTCAGCTCACTAGACACACAGACGTCAAGAAGGTTCATAGGACCATAACTGAAGGATCATAAACTTATTTGTGTCAATATTGGTTCTTAAAACACTTTCAGCCTATCATAAAAGCAATTCTGAAATTTTAATTGTTTTTTAAAAAGTAGCATTCAAGTTAAATTTCCTTCAAAATGGCTACCTACCTGTAAAAGCAGCCTCTCCTTTTTTCACTTTGTGCTTCCTTGCCTCTAGCCAGAAATATTTCCCACTGCTAACTGTCTTTTACATTTGCTTTAGAAGATTGTGTGATACAATACAAAGTTACTTCCTTGAATCAGAAGCAAAGTTACTATTTTATCATATTTAAAATATATATATTTTAACTCAATGTTTATTTTAGAATTCTGAGAAGCACTAAACAAACAAATTTGTGGGGAAAACCACTCCACACAATACCTCTAAATGTGACATCATTGTACACACAAGCAGAAATTAAGTTAGAGACCTAAATATCCAGTTGTCATGTTTCCTGTCAAAATAACATTTCATAATACATAAATCGCTCAAGCATGAACAGAGAAGTCAGGTGTAGCTGGTGGGGACTTCACAGCCATGACAAACAGGATGTAATAAAAAAGGGGCATTTTCACAGCCTGTCAAACTAACTATATACCTTTATCACTGTAATAATGTGGGTAACTTTGTAAATTTTAAAGCCTGAATGTCATACTTGTATCTAACAGGCATGAGGGAAACAAGAAATGCACACATTTTAAATGGGAAATTTCATGGAATGAGACCTCTTGGGAAATCAAAGTACAGACTGTTCTCTTTCCTACATAACTTGTACAGCATCAAATAAGAGTAAAAGATTTTCATGAATGGTAAAAGTATACAAGTTTGGTATATTTGAAGGTAATGTCATAGTATTCACATGGAAACTGAGAGAAATCACAAAAAACTTAGGATGGCAAGTAACTGGTCAAGATTTGAACCAAGTATCTCCCAAATACAGTGTACAGCATTATCAATGAAACAACCTGTTTGGGGTTGCAGTCATATGTGGGACAAAATGGCAAAATAAACATAACAGTGGGTGGACTTTTGTGGTGCCATGCTACCTGGTCATACCTATTGCACATTTCGGATGTCAAGTCTAAAGCATCAGTGTAACCATATTTCTGAGAGCTAATTTGTGAAATGTTAACTATGTAGAAACAAAAACAGTACGACAGTCAGGCTCTAAAAGATTGCACAGTTCTCAAAACTAATTAATCCTTTGTGGTAACTGTAAATTCCTATGTGCTATTTGGTGTGGAGGTTGATAGTCTTAATACCTTAATATACCGCCTTGAGCTGGCTTTCAAGGACATTTGTTTTATGGGTTCATGGATCCGTAATGCTATATATTTGTCTAAAAAATGATGACAGTATAAATAAAAGGCTCATTGTTATGAGCTCATAAGATTTATTACTATTACTCCATACTGACCTCTTTCAGACAAAAATAACTGGCTATGCCATTCCAGGGGTGTAAATTTGGAAGCTGGCCTCTGACCCCCAGATTTATAGATAAACTAAATTCTAGAAGCAAAATGTTGCTTAAATAACAGGTTATTGTATGCAGTGTAATTTAACAATGGTATAATAATTGCAATGGTTACATTACATAACACAAATTGAGAACAAACAAAATTATTAAGTTATAAATGCCTTTTCTTTGTCCAGGTTTTTCTAATAAACTGTACTAAAATAATGCTTATTTAATATGACACTTATGAATACATGACCAAACACTAATAATTAGCTCATGGTGTAAACAGTAAAAGTAAAGTAAAGTTTGTCCTGCTACGTGCCATATAGGCGCTTGGGGCGAGTGGAGGTATAGCCCCTCTTTCTTCACCTCGGCACTAGATGGGGGTGAGTGGTCAGCATCACGCCCCGGCCGGCTTTACCTCTGGGAAAGGACCCCGGTACCCATTGTAGAGGAGGCTGGGTGGGCCCCAGAGCCGGTCTGGACGCAGAGGCTAGAGGAAAAATCCTCTGCCCCCCGCCGGGGATCGAACCCCGGTCGTCCAGCCCGTAGCTAGTCACTATACTGACTGAGCTATCCCAGCTCATTGGTGTAAACAGTCCCTAGTGAAATTATAATAATAATAATAATTACAGAAAATAATTTTATTGTTGTTTCAAATGCTTCAATTATATCATCTACTTTCCATAACACTGAATAATAAGATCTTAAATGAGGTAGCAATGGGTGAATGATAAGCAGCTGTCACAGAACACATAATTAACTCCCACCTAACCTGTATCCCCTGCACATTACAGACTTAGTATTACACAAATCTTAACCTTGAAAACTCTCCCATACATAGTGGCAGTATAAAAAGACAAATTTGTCCCTGGTAATTATTAAGCACCATACCTTGAAGACATATGGGTAGTGTAAGTACAGCCCCACTCTTTCTTGACCTTGGCACTGGATGGAGATGAAAATGGTCCCCAGCACCCATAGGATTGGAGGCTGGAAGAACCCCAGAGCTGGTCTGGCTAAGGGAAAAATCGTTTGTATATGATATTAAAACCTGGTTGTCCAGTCTATCAGTCACTATACTGATTGAGCTACCCTGGCTGTGTAGTGATATTATAGGGATATAAACATACAGGAGATCACATATGGCCCAAGAAATGTGTTTTGGTTATCCCTGAGTGTCATTGAAAGAGAACAGTAAATCACTCATAGAGTACAATTTAATAAGAATAAATCTGTATATACAGTGGCAATGCACTTTACAGCCAGTAATAAAAGTTGCTTTAATTGTGATTCATCTATTAGCAAATCATGGGAAGGGATTTTCCCAGTCAGATGTGTTGATTGTGGTGAGGCACATATAATAGGCATGCAGTGCTGTAGGAAGTGCAGGAGCCAGTATGACAACCATGAACCTACCAACAGTAATCACACTTCTGTTTCTCAGCACAGCAAATCTTGTGGTAAGTACTAGTGATAATAGAGGTCCTGTTTTTTTATTCAAAATGTGGTATTTTTATTTTGAATACAAGCAATTAAAAGTATTACACAATGAAATATGCTTTAATTACAGCAGAATTTGAGGAATAATCAATAATTGGCTACTCCTAACTCTACAACATACAGGCCATTAAGTTTTTGAACAAGAGTGAAAAATGGAAAATAGAGAAAATAAACATTTTACAAATATATTCTTTGCTATTTTGCAGACCTATTGGCCTTGATGTTCATTTAATACAGACACAAATCCCCCGGTCGTCCAGCCCGTAGCTAGTCACTATACTGACTGAGCTATCCCAGCTCATTGGTGTAAACAGTCCCTAGTGAAATTATAATAATAATAATAATTACAGAAAATAATTTTATTGTTGTTTCAAATGCTTCAATTATATCATCTACTTTCCATAACACTGAATAATAAGATCTTAAATGAGGTAGCAATGGGTGAATGATAAGCAGCTGTCACAGAACACATAATTAACTCCCACCTAACCTGTATCCCCTGCACATTACAGACTTAGTATTACACAAATCTTAACCTTGAAAACTCTCCCATACATAGTGGCAGTATAAAAAGACAAATTTGTCCCTGGTAATTATTAAGCACCATACCTTGAAGACATATGGGTAGTGTAAGTACAGCCCCACTCTTTCTTGACCTTGGCACTGGATGGAGATGAAAATGGTCCCCAGCACCCATAGGATTGGAGGCTGGAAGAACCCCAGAGCTGGTCTGGCTAAGGGAAAAATCGTTTGTATATGATATTAAAACCTGGTTGTCCAGTCTATCAGTCACTATACTGATTGAGCTACCCTGGCTGTGTAGTGATATTATAGGGATATAAACATACAGGAGATCACATATGGCCCAAGAAATGTGTTTTGGTTATCCCTGAGTGTCATTGAAAGAGAACAGTAAATCACTCATAGAGTACAATTTAATAAGAATAAATCTGTATATACAGTGGCAATGCACTTTACAGCCAGTAATAAAAGTTGCTTTAATTGTGATTCATCTATTAGCAAATCATGGGAAGGGATTTTCCCAGTCAGATGTGTTGATTGTGGTGAGGCACATATAATAGGCATGCAGTGCTGTAGGAAGTGCAGGAGCCAGTATGACAACCATGAACCTACCAACAGTAATCACACTTCTGTTTCTCAGCACAGCCAATCTTGTGGTAAGTACTAGTGATAATAGAGGTCCTGTTTTTTTATTCAAAATGTGGTATTTTTATTTTGAATACAAGCAATTAAAAGTATTACACAATGAAATATGCTTTAATTACAGCAGAATTTGAGGAATAATCAATAATTGGCTACTCCTAACTCTACAACATACAGGCCATTAAGTTTTTGAACAAGAGTGAAAAATGGAAAATAGAGAAAATAAACATTTTACAAATATATTCTTTGCTATTTTGCAGACCTATTGGCCTTGATGTTCATTTAATACAGACACAAATCTACTGTTGCATAGCTCATTACACTTCCAGATATTACATAGAAGTCAGAAAATAATTTTTCTCACAATTTCTTAAACATTCAAAGTGTCAAGATTTCCAATAAAAGGTGTAATCTTAAATCATACCTATATTTTATGACAGGTATCAATTTTCTGCACAATGAATTGTTTTGATCAGAAAACGTAACAAAATTTATACGGTCACTGATGTTCTTATACAACTTATTAACCCTAGACTTACTAAGTGATAAGTTCCTTGGACCTGCAACTAGTATGCTACTTATTTCTTCCTTAGGTTTTCCTGGCTGTAACTTCAGATTTTGGGAATATGCTGTTAAAATGTTGAAAGTTTCAAAGTGTTTCAGAAAAAATTTCAGTTGCCACCTTAGTGTTTTGTAGCCTGACACTCAAAATACATTTGTAAAAATTTCTCCTAGCTAATTTAAAAATTACAGTTTTTTATTACATATATTTTTCTGTTGTAGAGAACAATTTTCACTGAAATCTCACCAATGCTGATTCTTAAGTTTTGTTACTATTACCAGCCAGAAAGCTATCAGATTTCTCTCCATGCAGTAATTGCCTGGAAGCCCAAATAATACAGGGTTAAAAGAAAATTGAAATATTGACTGTAATCCACAAAATCTCTGTTGTTCACGCATCTAATCTTCTCAGCAGTCAGTCCAATATAAATTTTACTTTATACAAAGTTTAAATCAAACTTTATTGACTTTCACAAAATATCTTCATACACTATGACAAGATTTACAACTTTGATTAAAAATATTTGTTGATGTGAATATTTAATGAAATGCAAAAATAAATATTTTGTGACTCTTAGGTAATATGAATGCATTTGCAATAATATATAATCATCTGAAAAGTTACAGATTGGACAATTGATGTTAATTTCTTTTCTTTCTGTTGTTGATGAACACATATTAATAAATATTCAAGTAGTTGGTTTTGATAATATCAGTCTTACTGAAAAGACAGTGCAAGTTACGTGATTCATTACGTATGCAAGATGTAACTTAAAGGCATGATACAAATATAAGAGTGAGTTTTATAAATCAGTACAATAAAAAGGTTCATATAAACACTGTTCTAGAAAAGCCTCATTTTTAAGTTGCAGGCCTATTTTGTTTTATGATGTACAATCATATTGCTCAGAGCACAAATTTTATAACAAGTGCTCAAAAATGCCTATTTGGAATTTGTCATAGAAACTTTTGCTAGTAGAGGTGCTTGGCCTCATTATTGATGACATTTTCTAGATCATAAAAGAGATGAATATATCCTGTCCCTTGAAATGACTAAACATCCATTTTCATGAAACACTTAGCAAAAATAAATTTGATTTTCAACAACAATACAGTTACTGTTTAAACAATGAAAAAATGTTTCTTGAGAATCACTATGCAAACATAATTTTTCTGAACTGTATGGAATCTTCAAATATTCATTCTATTACAGGCAGGACAGAATGTAACTTTTACCAACACAACTACAACTGTTATAACTACAGTCATAACAACAAGCACAAATAACACCTCCAATGCCACAATGACTCCAGCACCACCTCCCAATGCAACAACTACAAGTACTACTTCAGCAACAACACCCATTACAATCAGCAGCAGGATGACAACATTGCCATCAGTCACAACATGGGGTAAGCACAATGTTGATTGCCAAAACGTTCAAACGTAATCAACGTGTCTTAGAGATTTTTTAAATTCCTCTAGTTATTGCACTTTAGCTGGCCACGTAAAAACTTATAAATTAACTTCTGTGATTGGAGTACACAGGGACAGGATTTTGTTTATGCTGCATAAAGTGATAATATAACAGCTGGAAGAAGAGATTTACACCTTAAAATTGGTAGTCATTTTGCAACATCATCTATTTAATTATATTCATTTATGAAATATTAGGCTACATTTAACAAATACACAAGAATGTTATGGATATTAACTGTACTTTGTTCTACTTGACTATGTAGTATCATAACATTATCAAACTAAACTCTTCCATACTTACTGACTGATTAGAGAAAAGTGGATAATCTGGCAATCCAAATAGAACTAAAAATATATAATATCTGCACAGGTCCCCTGATGTACTGCTGGTTCCCATGCTATGGTGGTGCCTGTGGAGGTGGTTACCCCGTGCCACAAATTCCTTACAGTGGTGGGAGTTTGTCTTGGTGGTTTGGATTCCAATTCCAATGGTCAAAAAGCAAACCAAGACAGCAAAGCTCCCCTTGTCCAAAGAAAGGAGGCCGCAGACGCAAGGGATGTTAAAACCAATGTATCCCTACAAATAAAAATAAATTATTGAAATGCGGTGTGTCACATATTAATTATTAATTTTGTAAAAATGATGTAAAAAGACATTGTAATTTACACATGCCCATAAGCAAGTTGTATGGACTTATATTAAGTAACTATAAGATGATAGTATACTTACACCAACTATCATAGCCAGGACTGAATGGAAAGTCCTTCAGCTGTTTTGCTGGGAAAAAACATGCAAGTGGAAATTTTTTGTGTGCCATAATTTTAAGGTAAATGCTAACAGTGTTGTTCTTTCTCTCTCTTAAAATAATTGTTTTTGTAATATTTCCAACAGTCTAGTTGAAATGTGCAGTTCCTCTGGCTTCTTTTCTTTTCAGAAGGCAATGGTTTTTGAAATGATGAAAAGGCTAACATGTGGGGGTAGGATAAGTCAAGTGAATGTCTGAAAAAAGATATAGAAACTATTGGAAACAAGCAAGTGTTCACATATTATAATATATTTTTAAAGTAGGATGACATTTTAGAGTCACTGGTATACAAGAACATTCTGTCTTTCATCAACTTAATATCAACTCCTCACTGAGAAAGTTCTTGTCAAAGAAAAGTAGTCTGATGTGTACCAACATTTATTTGATTTTGTCTTAATAATTATGGTGACTGGATTTTTTATATATAATATGGGTCACTGAACAGGAATAGATCAAATACATACTGTCTGTTTCTTACACCAATAATGGTGATTATAAACTGAGTCATGAGGAAGGAAAAGGGTACAACTGTGATGTATTGTATGTTCCCACCCTTCCATTTGAGCTGAAAAATGAAGGAAGAACTTGAAGGTATTTAGTCATGGTATTCACTCAATTCTAGTCAAGAGAGACCAGTAATTATTATAACATGTCCATGATAAAATAATTCAGATGTCTTTATTATAGTGTCTGATACACTTGCAATTGTAATTGTATGCAGTAAAATCCAAAATAAACATAATGGAGCAGAAG